ACTCTGTCCCAGGTCTACTGAAACCTCGCTCCAAACTACACATTGGAGCTTTCAACGTACAGACTCTATGTCAAATCGGTCAGCAGGCTTCATTGGCTAAAACCCTAGAGTCTCTTTCCATTGATGTATGCTGTGTCTCCGAAACACGCATACAGGATTCCAGTGTGGTCATTCACTTGACCTCACCTCGGTAAAACGGAGAGCCAACGAGATACACCCTACGTGTATCTGGTGACCCGATGGCCAGTTCTCGTGGTTTGGCAGGTGTAGGTATAGCACTAAGCATGAGGGTGGAACAAGCACTGCTAGAGTGGATCCCCGTCAACAGTCGTCTATGTGCTGTTCGGCTAAACGGCTCCGTAAGAACTCGGAAGGATAGGGACACACGTCGTTGCCTTTTTGTCGTTTCTGCCTACGCTCCCACTGACTGCAGCTCAGATCATGTGAAAGATGAACTTTACAGAAAGCTTCCTGAACTTCTCCAGAAAGCTAAACGTTCAGACATAGTACTCGTAGGGGGTGACTTTAATGCTCAGATAGGTAGCTTAAACCAAACAGAAAGGCATTTCGGTGGATATTTTAGTATTCCGGCACAGCGAACAGATAATGGTGACCGTCTGCTGCAACTGTGCTCAGATAATCGTTTATTTTTAGCAAACACAAATTTTAAGCATAAGGAGAGACATCGTCTAACATGGCGACCCCCTACACCAAACCAACAATGGACTCAAATAGACTATATTGCCATCAGTCATCGTTGGAGAGGGTCGGTAGAAGATTGTCGCTCATTCTGGAGTACCTGCTTGGACTCCGACCATGCCCTAATACGGGCACGCATCTGCTTGCGCGTCACTGAACGCAAAAAAGCCACATTAAAAAGACCCATTAGAACTGAGTTGAGTAACGGGAAAACCAAAAGTAGGTTCCAAGAACAACTGAGTTCACACTTAGGTAGTTCTGAAGGCGAGGCTGACCCAGATGTTGCTTGGAAAGACATACAAGCAGCTGTGGAAGCAGCAGTGACATCTATTAGCAACTTAAACCACAGAGTTTCAAAGAACCAGTGGATTTCTTCAAAGTCTATCACACTGATGGATTCTTGCAAACTCGTCCCATCAGGTTCCGAACATGATGAAGAGCGACAACAAATCAGATCTAGGTTGGGAAAAAGTCTGAGGTACGACCGTGAGCAGTGGTGGGCAACGAGAGCAAAAGAGATGGAAAAGGCGGCGACTATAGGGAACACAAGACAGCTCTACAGACTAATAAGAGAAACTGGAATTAATAAGTCAAGTGTAAGTGAGATTATATCGGAAAAAGACGATACACTCATCTGCTCCCAGTCCAAGCGTTTAGAACGATGGGCGGAACATTTCAGAGAACAGTTCAGCTGGCCTTCAGCTACTCTACAACTACCCTCCATTCCCAGACAGCGTGAATGGAACATTGAAGTAGGTCCCCCAACTCTTGCTGAGGTTCAAAAGGCTATAGGTGACCTGAAATGAGGAAGGGCTGCTGGTTCAGATGAATTGGTTTCAGATGTCTTTAATTATGGTAGTCCAATTTTAGCGGTTAGGTTGACTAATATTTTAGCTAAGATTTGGGAGTCAGATGTTATTCCATCTGACTGGTCGCAATCACTTATCGTTCCAATATACAAGAAAGGATCAAAATCATCTTGTGACAACCACAGAGGGATTAGTTTAACAAATATAGTATCTAAAATACTAGCCTCAATAATAATCAGACGCCTAACTAAGACTCGTGAACTGCAAACACGAGAAAACCAAGCTGGCTTCAAACCTGGTCGTGGCTGCATCGACCACATATTCACCATTCGTCAGGTTCTAGAACACAGGCATACTTATCGACATCCGACAATGGTGCTCTTTCTTGACTTAAAAGCAGCATTTGTCTCGGTAGACCGCGAGATTCTGTGGCAGTGTATGTCATTGAAAGGCGTACCACAGAAGTACATAAACCTTGTAAAGGCTCTTTACTCGAACACTACTAGTCGAGTGAGAGCTTATGGCGAACTGTCATCTACTTTTGCAACATCAAGTGGTGTCCGTCAAGGATGTCCACTTTCCCCATTTTTGTTTAACTTTATCATAGATCTACTGATGGAAATAACATTTTCGTCGACTGAGTTCTCGGGTATTGATCTCCTTTCAGGAGGTCCACTTATCGACTTAGAATACGCAGATGACATAGTCCTGTCTGGTGAAGACGCTGACAAAATGCAGAGTCTTCTGGTAGCACTGAGCAACAATGCCAGAATGTTTGGAATGCGCTTCTCTCCCTCTAAATGCAAGTTGTTGCTTCAGGACTGGTCTGCGTTAACACCTGAACTAAGGATAGGGAGTGAAGTGGTCGAACGCGTCGACAACTTCACTTATCTTGGAAGTCTGATCAGCCCTAATGGGCTGGTATCGGACGAAATTTCAGCACGGATTCGAAAAGCTCGTTTGGCTTTTGCCAACTTACGTCACCTGTGGCGAAGGCGAGATATCCGTCTATCAATAAAAGGACGAGTATACTGCGCGGCAGTCCGTTCTGTTTTAATTTACGGCAGCGAAACATGGCCACTAAGAGTAGAAGACATTCGTAAGCTATTAGTATTTGACCACAGATGCCTTAGAAATATTGCTGGCGTCTGCTGGGATAACCGGGTAAGTAATAGTGAGGTTAGACGCAGGGTATTAGGAAATGATGGTAAATCAGTTGATGAGGTTATGAATCTTCATCGACTGAGATGGTTGGGCCACGTGTTACGTATGCCTGAACACCGATTACCACGACGTGCAATGCTATCCGGTATTGGAAATGGTTGGAAGAAAGTTAGGGGTGGCAAAACCAAAACGTGGCATCAGTGCTTGAAGTCACTAACTTCTAGTCTGAGCCATGTTGGTAGATGCAGACTACTTGGTTGGGGTCCGCGTGACTGTCGAAACCAATGGTTGGAGACCCTTGGTGACATGGCTCAGAATCGATCACAATGGCGTCGGTGCATACACTCCCTATCTTCCCTTAAACTAAGAGATTAAAATCGCTTCATATCTTTCTTTCTACGAACTAATTCTATATTCCAGTACTGTATCCTTATATGCAATCTTTCTCCTATATATTACCACCTTTAACCTAACCACTCCTATGAATCCGGTGTTCATCTTGCTGTGTTAATGAGGTATGGCAACCTGGACCGATGCACATATGTGCCTGGTCCTACGTTGTAGCTGACTGACTGATACTTCATGCTATTAGGTTACATCCCTCAACGTGCTGTCTAGTAGGACTTCAAGTCAAAATTGTCACTCCGTCCTGTCAATTTTAACTGATATTTAAATCTTTTGGAAAGGAGTGATAACTATGTCGGACCAAAATATATTCACATCTTATGGAGTATTTCGTCGTGTGGAGAATATGTGTAAAGTATTGTCTTAATGGTCTTTAATTACAAAGTCTCTTACTTTACGTTGTGTTTAGTTCTTATCAGTCAATGTTTTTAATACCAAAAGACTTAAATAGTTTTTAGGTGTTATCTGTCTAACTTATTGATTTCCATTAGGATTTAGTGATACATGTTGGTATGGATGCCAGTGTGACGATGCCAATTTTAGAAACTCTGTCGTATAATAGTGGTTACGATAAACCAGATATGGATGGCGCTTATTGTGGAAATAATGGTTGTGTTAATATTCATGGTGAACCAATCCTTTATTGTAACATGAATTTGAGTAAAGCATACAGTAAACTAGTGGATAATCATATTGCTTGTTCAATTTCAAATGATCCAGGCAGGTTTTTATGTGGCTATATATACTACAAGTTAGTTCTATCCGTTATTACTTCTATCAATTTATCCTGTTGTTTAATATAGATCACTGGAATATTCACCTGATCGAGTTGTTTTCATACATGTCCCATGTTCAGCTAGAATGTCTGTTGAAGATACTGCTATTTCACTTCTACAGATAATTCGTGAACTAACTGCTTTAAAAGGAGTTGTAATTCCTTATACATTGACTACTTAACAGCAAACTTCTTAAAAATTTTATTTCCTATAAATTTTTGTGAGTAAATTAATAGAACCTCAATTTACCTGCGCAGTGGTCTTCTCTATACACTAAGAAAAGCTGATTTCATGTCATTATTTTTTTTAATTATTATGCCTGCATTCTTTTATGCTCTGACGGCATTAACAAACCATTAAAATGAACTTATTTTTCTGTACAGAATAATTTACTTTCAGGTATAGAAAAAATAAATTCATTCTCAGGTTTCTTATTTTGCTTTGTTGACCTGATTCTTAAAAACAAAAGTGTTTGAAATTCATTCTAACATTTATATATAGTAGGTACTAAACAAGTAATTATCGATCTATTTTTCAACAATTCCATATGTGTTATAGTTTAAAACAGTAACGACAATCTCTCTGTTTCAAAAAGCCCAAAAATAAATGTTAAGGCGATATTGTTTTTACGGAGTGATGTATTTCAGTCGAGGGAATTCTATTTAGAGTCTTTGAACCTATATCCGAGCTCTTATTGTATTTAACATGTATTTTATGATACATATACCAAGAAACTACTTATTTCAACTTATCATACTGTCTAAGATGGGCTTAAACTGGAAGACAAGCTATGGATAGACTATAGTATATCATCAGTACATGAAGTCACTACTTATTGATCTGGAACATGTCAAGAGGTTCAAGCTTCCTCGTCCTGCTATGCAGGGTTGTCATAGTCTGTCGTAGGAAATTTTAGATAATGTGGTTTAAAATCAATCTGAGTAGTCGGATGCACTGGGGTTTTTTTTACCTAAATTTTGAGTTTGTCTCAACTGACTGACCAATTTGGTTTCTAACTTGAGAACTATTTATTGTACGTCCAGTTTTGCAGTATTATCAGTTTAAGTTACACCTAGTTATGCTGTACCTTAAAGTTTAAAATATAATTTTGTTCAGAAACAAATATTTCCATGCATCAGTCCATAGTGAGGTTTATTTTGGTTAGAATTATAAGATGTAATGAAATTTGTGTGGGCTGAATTATTTAAAGCAATTATTACGAAAAAAGGATTATTATGTGCATGTGATCAGTACTTTATTCTAGATAATTTATTATGAAGATGATCGCATTGAAGTTAACATCATGATGGTTTTAAAGCAAGAAATTATGAAGCGTCAACCATCATTTCTTCAAACAATTTAGAAATATTTGTACATAATCATTTCGTACAAATCTCAGAATACACAAATTAATGAAGATCCAGATTTTAAAGTATTTAATCTATGATCGAGCAGTTATCGATATTTTCACCTGCCGAAGTTTGTTTCAAAGTTTTCAATAATGATTTGTATCTTTTTTTCTGTGTTGCCTGTTTATTGCATATAATTGTTAATGATTTCCTTGACGTTGATCAGTTGAATCGTCCGTTATATTCTTACTGTGTTAAAGTGATTCCACGAAATTTAGAATTATCCAGTTATTCCTCCTCTTCCTATTTTTTCCGCTACTGTTGTTCTTCCTCAAGGTCACTTCCTTTTACAGTACTGATTTAAAATAGTACACGAACCTGTATATGTTTTGTTTTAAATAACTATATACTACTTAAAAGTATTCAGTAGATGCACATATTTAGAATTTGCACGTGCACGCGAAATGTCAATACATTGTAGATTCGTGAAGTAATATATTCACCACTGAATTACCATATCATCTTAAGGGATTGAATACCATCTTAATGAAATTAACATGTGGAATAATATAAAAATACATGCTAAAATCATTTCTACATAAGAGAATCAAATCTGCAAGAATAAATAATAAAATGTAAAGTCAATTGCAAATATGAGAATCATGCAAAAAATGTTTAGGACTAAGTTAGTCAGGAATAAAGAACACATTTATTAGCAAATAATGAAGTGATATACATAAAGTCTTGCAGAAGTCAAGTAATGAGGAACTACTTGTTAATCGGTTTTCATTAGAGAAGGAAACCAACTGAATTGCTTGTTAATAATTTCATGTAACAACCGAAGATGAACGGCGAACACGTTTATCACATATTAGATTTTGTTTCTCGATAAGTTCTGCAACATTGTTCATCTATATATTTGAATAAATAGGGAAAAAATTCTATTCTAAAACTCGTTGAAACGCTAGTTTTAAGAAGTAATCTTACGTGGTGCTAGCTAGATTTGAAAAGATTTTATATCTCGGACTGAAACATATCAGATTCCTCCATTTCGAACTACGTTTATCTCATTAATGAGATGAATGGGTACATACCTATTTTATTCATTGCCAAAATATAAGTGGTAAAGCGTATTCGATGAAGTGCACTTTCAAAAGTGACTGGATAAACTACTGAATATATTTTTGAGAAAACCTTGAGATAAAACGAATATTTTTATGTGGTACCAGAAAAAAAACTAGATCCTTAGGAACTTTTATAGATGGATTAAGTTTTAGCATAGAGTGTTATTGAGTAAAAAAATTAATGTCATATACATCTATTTCTATGAGCTTATCTAATTCTGTTGATAGATTTACGATGTAACCAGCAGTGTTATTGACTCAGCTTTTAATCCTATATGTTTACTATCAATCGGTAGGTTTTCCTCATTTCAGCTAGTCAGCACATAGAATACACAATCTTTCCGTAAAAATTAAGGTAATAGAAATTAGTATATTCATCCTTACCATAAGCTTCATAGTTATTAAGAGAACGCATGCAGAAGTCACTTTTCTTTTGTAGAAGTTAATTTTAGCAATAGAAATATTATAAAGTGATACATGCATGAGGTCATCTGCTTTAATCCTACCTGTGATGTAGATTAGTGGGGTGCTTTATATAAATGTGTACCAACTCATATTTTTGTCAGGCTAAAAAAGTGCGTACCCATTCTAAGTGGGTTATTTTATGGTTTAATTTCATATATATTTCAAAACAATCTGTCGTATTATTATTATATTTAATTGCCTTAATAAATTTATAGCAAGACTGAAATATTCTATGGAGGTTTCTGGCTTTTATTCATGTTCAGCTATCTCCTTCCTAGTCAAATTATGGACATTTCTAAACAAGTATATTTCTGACCATCATATATTTGCAAGGTATTTCTCATAACTGTGATATACTACTGGACTACTACAGCAATTGTGTTGGTTAATTTAATAAAATTGCAAAAATCTGAAGTACCGTGTACGCTGTATCTACAACTACGAAGAAAAATGTTTTTTTAGAAAACAAAGGGAAATACTTAGCCATACTCCTTTTTTGTTAACGGTGGACATTATTCACAATAATACAATTTCGAATATACAGTTACAACGTGAAATTCCTCTTCAAATTTGAACCAAGTAGTAGTTATTTATGAAAATTTAATGAATAGAAGTTTGTTACTCTACTATGCGATGAGGAGATTCCTTCTAATAAAATGTCTTACTACTGCTAATGAATTACAAGTAGTATATAATTTGATCTGTTAAATACAATTTACCTGAAGTAAAAGCTGATGCAGTAACATGGTATTTATATTTTCATCCTCAGAAAATTTCCGCGATGAAACATGTTCCATTGATCTACATCGAGACTTAAGTTGTTTTGCATGAATAGAAGATGATCTGGAAATCTAAAGACAATTTATTATTATAACGAATGGGATTAAAACTAATAACATTCACGCAAATTAATTATTAAAATCATTATTTTACGGATCATATTTATTAGCAAGTATTTACTTTATCTATTATTTTTTTCGGATGGACATGTTGTAATCCTTATCATTTCTTTAGGGCGTTATTACCGTTCTCAAAGTCTGTTATATTCAAAGTTTAACTTTTTTACAATAGTATATCGACATACATACACAAAATTATTCGAAAGTTCTTCGCCGTTAGTTTTCTACTGGTCTGTAACATATTTTCGTTTTACATTGGATATCCAAACTACTAGTGAGAATTTATGAGCAGAAAACTGATGGGCAGTAAAAATGTGCACAATTTATCACATAAGAAGTCAACTCTGAAAATGAAACTGCTGATTGAAACAGCGTACATTATAACAAAAGTTTATATAAATTGAAATTAGATTTATTTAGTGTATTTTTCTTTACATCTTGATCAAACCTGTATACATCTAATCTTTAAATATTTGGCAACTTACACAAAGAAATGGAAAGTATGTTTAAAGTGTTTTGTTGTATTCTGCTGTTTACTCTACTAGAATCGATGAAAATATAATCAGTTTTGCAGTTCAAGCAATATATAAAACAAATTTTAATCATCCTTTGTTCTTTTTAGGGACAAATTTTATTTATAAGAAAATAAAGATGTGGAAAAGCCAGTTATCTAGTGCTACTTAGCTATATCAATTGGTTTATAATTTACACTATGATGATTCATTTCGCTGACTGGATTCTCCTTGAAATTTTTACTGAGCATATTAATAGTTATTTCCGTTTAAAAATGAACTTACTTTACGTGGATAAACTGTTTGATTTTGTACAATCGGTTCATCACTTATTCCCTTTATATGATTATCTGAAATAATAAGTTTATCACTTATAGTGAGATCGTCTAATTGTGATCAGTCAGTAACAACGTAGAACTTAGTACGTACGTACATCAGTTCGAGTTGCCATACCACATTAGCACAGAGATGCAGTGGTCGATTCAAATCCCGTAGTGGTAGAGGTAGCAAGAGTATAAGCAGTAATCGGGAAGATTAGGGTTTGGAGATGTTATTTAACGAGTATAATCCAGTGAAATAAATTTGGAAAGAGGAAAAAAAAAGGGGGGGGCATGAAGAATTCAGATAATTAGAATTTGGGAGAACATAGAGAGTGGATGCACCTGCGCCATTGCAAACGATTTTGAGCCATGTCATTCAGGGTCTCTAACCATCGGTTGCTATCATCTCGCGGTCCCCAACCAGGTAGTCTACACCTACCAACATGACTCAGTCCACTTGTCAGTGACTTCATGGATTTGTGCCATGTTTTGGTCTGGCCGCCCCTAGCTTTCTTCCAACCTACTCCTATACCACTGAATATAGCACGTCGAGGTAGTCGGTGGTTGGGCATACGTAACACGTGTCCCAGCCATCTCAACTGATGAAGTTTCACTACTTCATCAATTGATTTGCCATCCTTACCTAGTACCCGTTTCCTAACAGCTGCGTTACTTACTCGGTGGTCCCAGGATATACGAGCAATACTTCGAAGACACCTATGATCAAATACTAGTAACCTACGAATATCCTCTACTCTTACCGGCCATGTTTCACAGCCATAAAGTAGGACGGAACGAACTGCTGCGCAGTAAACACGTCCTTTGGTTGGTAGACGGATATCTCGCCTACGCCATAAATGACGCAAGTTGGCAAAAGCTAGTCGAGCCTTCTGTATCCGTGCTGAGATTTCGTCACACACCAGACCACAAGGGCTGACGAGACTTCCAAGATAAGTGAAGCGGTCGACACACTCAACTACTTCACTCCCTATCACTAGTTCGGGTGTCGATGTAACCCAATCCTGAAGCAACATTTTGCATTTCGAGGGAGAGAATCGCATCCCGAACATGCTTGCATTGTTGCTTAGAGTGGTCAGAAGACTCTGCATTTTGTCAGCGTCTTCACCAAATAAAACTATATCATCTGCATATTCTAAGTCAACAAGTGAACCTCCCGGTAGAAGTTCAACCCCTGGAAATTTAGATGAGGAGAGTGTTATCTCTAAAAGTACGTCGACCACAAAGTTGAACAAGAATGGGGAGAGTGGACAGCCCTGACGAACACCACTTGAGGTAATCAATTCTGATGACAGTTCGCCATAAGCTCTCACTCTACCGGTTGTGTTCGAGTAGAGAGCCTTTATAAGGTTAATGTACTTCTTTGGTACTCCTTTCAATGACAAACACTGCCATAGAACCTCACGGTCAACAGAGTCGAATGCCGCCTTAAGATCGAGAAATACTACCATTGTGGGGCGTCTGAATGTGTGTCTGTGTTCTAGAACCTGACGTAGTGTGAATATCTGATCTATACAACCACGTCCAGGTCGAAAACCAGCCTGATTTTCTCGAGTCTGCTCTTCACGAGCTTTGATTAGGCGTCGAAGTATTATTGAAGCTAATATTTTAGACACTATATTAGTCAAACTGATTCCTCTGTGATTGTCACAAGAGGACTTTTGTCCTTTCTTATAAACTGGCACAATCAGTGATTGAGACCAGTCAGATGGGATTACGTCCAGTTCCCAAATTCTACCTAAGACCTCGGTTAATCTCATTGCTAATACTGGACCACCATCCTTAAAAATCTCAGGAGTAAACCTGTCAGGGCCTGCTGCTCTCCCTCGTTTCAGATTTCCTATGGCTTTTTCAACTTCATAAAGAGACGGAGGACCTACATTAACTTGCCATTCAGGTTGACTGGAGATCGTGGGAAACCGAAGTGTGGCTGAAGGCCAGTTGAACTGATCCCTAAAGTGTTCTGCCCATCGATCCAATCTCCTGGATTGAGAATGAATAATATGTCCATCTTTCTCTGATATTGTTTCGCTAACAGTCGGGTTCCTAATTCCGGTTTCCTTAACGAGTCTAAACAATTGTCTGCTATTACCTATTGCCGTTGCCTTTTCCATCTCTCTTGCTTTCGCTACCCACCACTGTTCGCGATCATTGCGTAGACTTCTTGTCAGTTTGCGATAGCATAGAATTGCATGTAGACTTAAGGCTTTTCAAACTTATTTTTCGTTTTGTAGCCAAACTAATTCGTTCTTTATTTGAAACATCATGTAATTTATTAATTCCATCTATTGAAGCATTTTTATCATATTGACATCGATTTGATTCATTGTATAGTGTTAAACATTCCGACATAGAACTATCAGTAGACATTTTAATATATGTTGGAGATTTCGATTTAAGGTCTATAGATTCCATGACATTATAACTATTTTTATCTTGATCAAATATTAATTGATTATCAGACGATGATAAACTTTTCAATGAAATTGAAATTGCTTTTAAAATTTTATGAAACCATAATAATAAATTATGAAACGATTCTGTAGAGGATAATGTTTGTGAAACTGTTGAATTATTTTTTCTAGAATCGAATTTTCCGAGTGAATTCCTTACTGTTGATGTACACTGAGAAGATAATGCATAATTTGGAGCTTGGATTATAGCGAAGAAATAAAACAAAATAAAGACAAAGGGAATGACAATAAATTGTTTTTTTTTACAAATAAATGATCAAAGTTATGTCAATGTCGTATTTATCATGGAAAGAAGAATAAAGTTTGGATCTTTAGTGTAGTTTATTTTTAATGTGCTTATTTTTTAAGCCACGTAAGTACGGCAGATTAACATGTCCTTTTTTTTTCTAAAGAGAAAAAAAGTATGCCAATTTACATACCTCAATTTTACAACTTACCACATATGAAATCAACTGCTCTTATCAGTAGCAGCATGTTCGTGGATAGAAATGAAAAAAAAACCCAGTAATTACATGAATTTCTAGTTCACTTTAAAATTTCTGATTCTATCGATCAACTCAAATCCATGTTTTACACTATGAGTATTTTGCATAGCGGCTTTATGAGTCCTATTATTCATGGTAAGATAAATTTAACATTATCGAGTAATAGATGAAATGTTAAGCCATGTTTGTATACTTTTGATAGACTAAAGTGTTTGGATTTCACCATACCAGTTGGACTGAGAGTTGCATAAAATTCGTGGTAAATTGAACCTGTTTCTTGCAAACTATTTGGTGATTATGCCACTTGTTACCCAGAATTTTTTTGTGGTCATTTTTAGAAAAGAATTGGAATTTGCGATGGACATCGACTAGTGTATGCATCTTTTCGATATATACTGTTTTGGCCCGTAAGAAATACTGATGCCGTGTCAGGTTTGTTAATTACCAAAATCACAATTGTTAGGTTACTTACAATTTGCATCATTATAATAACAATCCATTAAAGTAAACTCACGTCTTCCTAAATATTTGTCAGTCAAATGCATCGAATCTGATGATTATGAGTGAACGTTTTCGAACTGAAAGTGTATTTCAACCTTTATTATTACTGGTACAACTAGCATAAACTTCCTGGCTAAAAGATAACGCTTTCAAATCATTTACATTCAGACCAACATTCAAAAATTTAAGAACATAATGACTTGGATTTCGGGGTAATTTCGTTCTTGCGGTCCGGTTTTCAAAGCTTCGAACCAACTGAATGAGTTTTCCATATCATTGCGCTCACTAGCTGGATCACGTATGCTAGGATGGGTACTTCGACGACGGAAGATCTAGAAACATCAGTTATATAGTACACGATTTAATTGAGTCCCTCTGATTGAAAAGATGACGTTTTAATATATTTCCGCTTGGTTCGACTCACGTCAAACTACTTCCCAATAGGTCTTCATGCCGGTTCATTTCGACATATTAATTTATAAAATCCATAAATATATTTACTTCAGTGAGTCTTGCACTATAACTGAGATACTCCTGGAGGATCTTTAGCGCATTCCACTTTGAACAGCTGACCAGTAAACCCCGTCCTACTTCACTAAAATATCATTCAAATATGACCACATATACCCGTCGGCGGTGTTGGATTCTTTGAGAAGCTCCTATTGTTTTTTTATAGACAGCGTTACCAGTGTCTATTTGAAGTTTAACGCAACAAACTGCGGGATAATATTTAATTTTATGGTGTGATAAAACGTTATGCTAACGAGTATTTTAATGAACCTTAAATAGTTTTACTTTTCAAACAGAACTGCATAAGTTTTTTTAAAAACTACATAAAATATGTCTCATAAAAGCATTAGCTTAATCATTTTACGTAGTTTCATTTTCTGATTTATCATAGATAAACCAGACAAATTTATTTAAATAGGATGATCATAATGGAATGCGAAATAGTTGGTAAATATGTGAAGATAAGTACTTCAGTAACATATAATGTTGTATATGACACCAACGATTATTAAATAAAATTATCGGCTTTGTAATGTAGAATTATGTAATATTGATTTTTATTAATGAACAGGTCATACTGAATAGATATCGGCTATCAAAACGAAATATAGTCCTTTTTCCATTTTATTATGCAACAAAACTACTGTGAAACGGAAGTTCTTTTTAGCAAAACATAGTTTTGGCCTACGCGTATATTGTGGTTTTAAAGATTTTTGAACGATAATTCCATAGAACCTTGTTCTGTATAACTATCTATTAACAGGGAATTATTCATCATCAGAAGGTAGCACAAATGATCATATATATATATATATATATATATATATATATATATATATATATATATATATATATTTGGACAACACAACTAATTTCATCCCAGAAAATTAGGATTTTAGCAATTAAGAAATACAACTGCATACACAACACATTAATTGCACAATCGCGAATGAAAGTATAGAAAACGTGAATTTATAATGCCAACCATCTAGAAATAGTGCTTGTATGTGAGGACCATAGTTTTCACAAGCAATACATGGATTGGTCCTCATAAAGATCTTAATTTAATTTTTCCAAGAAAGATTATAAACAATCGCAGAGACTACTTGAAATTGTTAGTTGGATGTTACATAATTAAAAATGGGAAGTTACTAGGATAAATTTCTAGGTTGTAATTCAAGTAAATCATATTGTTTTTCGGATATCCAAAACCGATTTAAACATAAATCCTGTTTAAAAATGAAAACAACTTGTGTAACTTATTTCAAAAAATGCTTGTGCTGATTTTGTATAAAGTATGATTGTTATATGCCTATTCGTTCAAGGATATGTTTTCCGTCCAAAAATGTTGGCTTCTAATCATTGAAGTGGTAATATGTATTGACAGATGGATCTTTAAATGCTTATCTAAATTTATAAGTTTTATGTAAAGGAAAAGTACGGTACATTTTATAGTTGTATGTATCAAAAAATGCATCCAACAGTCTTGTAATCCTTCATGTGTATCTCAATGATTTTATAAATCAATAGCGTGCATCCTTACTAATGCCTCACTTTTGCATCAACAATCATCACAAGCACGCTATAAAATAGGACAAATATAGCACATAGATTTTAGCTAACAACTCAGTTTCAATATCTGTTGCACAACGTTTCCATATTCTATAAACAAAAGTTCAAGAGAGAGGGTGGTTTTATTTTCCTTACGGCAATATTTACTTTCTCGCCATTATAAGAAACTTTAAAATGTCTCGTTGAAACTACACCATCTTTATAAGATTGAATGGTCTTTTATTATTGTGCGGCAATACAATTGATGTGTTTTAACTTTAAATCACTTTTTACGCAGTGAATATAACGAGTTTATTTCCGTAAGCGCAGTGCCATCACTAAACTACGAAATTTCCAAGGCTTCAGCCAATAAATCTACAGAGTTCAAACCAACAATTAGCAGTTTTACCTAACGTTGTCACATTTATAATACCATAACAGTGCCAATCCATTTCAAACCATATAGTTTCACAAACTCACTGACTTACTTAAGTAGTCCCTTAATTAATCCTTTCTAACCAATGTTAATAAATGCCACTTACAGTTCAATAATTCTTCAGATGTGTATGGGAGAATTCCGGTAAGTTGAACAGACATGTGTTTGTTTCTTTCGTATTGTTCTTTTAATGCATGTCGATGGGCATCCTCAGATAGTTCAAGTTGTTTGATTTTTTTCGTCAGTTCAGAAAGCTGATAAATATAATGAAAGCATTTTATAAAAAAAACTTTGAACAATGTACATGCATAACTTATGATTGCTTTTAATATTCCTCTCAGTTATAAAGGAATACAACTGTATTTAATTCAAAGTAAGAACGTTTCTTCAATCAGTAACCTAACATTACATACTCAAAAGAATACTTGCATTAAAATTAATTTTCCTCTATTATAAAACAAATTTACAGTGAGATGAGAGGATTAAGATTATTATGTATTTAGTAATATTTATTAAATAGGTAGGTAGATTTAATTTGTTGTTCATCGACAATATGTGGGCAGATCTAGTGCCTACTGGATTACATCAGTTCGTGATTGAAACTACCATCAGAATACAGAAAGCTCTGCACGAAATCGGCTAATCTAAACAAAGTTTAGATATTTAATTACGTCGCTTTTTTCTGTATGTCCATTTTTTCAAATAAATAAAAATTATTACAAACAAGTGGCCTTTGAAATATGTTAATTTTTATATAAAACATTCTCTGTTAATTAATACAAGTGTTTTAAATGACTGGATCTTATCATAAGTATTGTCTCTTACTTCATAATCTTACATGTTATTCTTATATTTTTAGCGGAAACATGCATTTATATGCGATAATAAAACTATTAATTAAAATCATATAATGATTAATTTGTGTTAAGTTGTATTATCTAAGAAATTTGATATTATCATATATGTTTAACAGATTACCTTATAAATGTGCTGTTTATAATTTTATTCGGTCATATGAATTAAATTTTAACTGAATCGTTTCGTGACGAAGATATCATTGTCACTTGGAGAGTAATATGACAGATTATGCCTGTATAATTTTAAATGAAAGTTCTCGGTGCTGGTCAGTTAAAACCAATTGAATGTTTAAAAAGAAACCAGGCAGGTATGATAATTTTGTTACTATTGAAACATGTAAGAAACCTACCGCTGATATTTTTTAATAATGTATTCTGTTCCTTTATATCTCATTGATAACAAATGTCATATATCAACAAAATAGATGGTATTGTGAATATCTGTTTTGTTCAGTGTTTCCTAAAACCAGTCCGTAATGGATAACTATGACATTCCCAATTTGTAAATATCGTCTGATTGACTAATTTTATTATTAATGGCCATCGTTATATATATATATATATATATATATATATATATATATATATATATATATATATATATATATATATATAATTATACCGGAAGTCATTACAATTGATTATCCGAATGTTTGGAAATAAAGTTTAGATTTGAATCAAATTTTTCTTCTCTATAAATCTACTTTTTAGAAAATAATTCTCAGATAATTTCAATCCTTGAATTCTTAACCACTTGAAAATTCATAATAAGCTTATTAGAATTGAGCTATTTTTGTCTCACTGTTAAACATTTTTAACAGTTTGGACATTCCATACAATGACTCAAGTCCTAAAGTAAATACGTTTTGTAAAAGCTACTATAGATTTCTCCAAAATTTAATGTTTATTTTGACTTTGCGACTGTGTATTTGTAGGAATCGACTCCTAATTTTGATACCGGTGACAAAACAGGGTGTAATTTAGCGATCAAGGTACTCAAATTTTATCTTCTAAGTCCCAGGAACAAACCCTCTACCATCTATTTCGACTGGAGCAATAGGATATTAGTATTATTATCCGTCACACTTTGAGTTTGGTTCATAATCAAATAATTAGTGAATGAGCTGAGAAGGAAAGTAAAATTCGTTTTAGCAAACCAAAAACAGACCATTAATCCAAAGTACAATCGTTGGAAGAATTGCACATAGTTTAAAGAAGAAAACAACGAGTGAACTTTTCTAGAATACCAGATGTTTAGTGTTACATAGTTTCTACTTATTTTCCATTGATCAACTGACCATAAAAAGTAATATTTTTACATATACATGTATTAAAAACTACAGCATTAAGAGATAGTTTATTTCAGTATCAACTGTCTGACTATATATTGTTGTGATTTTCCAATCATTCCACAATTATTAAAATTTATATTGGTATGATTTAAATAAATTCTGTAAGTTAGATATAAAGTTCTATTTATACTTCGTATTTATCCTCAGAAAGAAAAATTCACATCTAATTGTATATATTTTAACTATCATGAAGGCTAAATGATCAAGTCTTTTTTCTATTAATAGCTAGATAAGATTTACGGATATGGATTGTCATAAATTACATTCATTCCGAATTACATAAATTGCAAATCTTTGTTATTTTAATTTATGATTCATTGTATTTTAAATTATAACGAGAGCTTCGTTTAGTACACTTTAATTTTGTACATGGTCTACTTGGTAAATATACAAACAAAGACATGATATGAATGTTTTCTAATGAAACTAGGGAAAAACTATTGAGAAATTCACGAAATTATTGAAGGAGATTTATAGTAATAATGGTTCAGCAACAGTTGTATGCCAGTTTCTTATGCACAATTCTGTCAGTAGATTATGTCACTTTCTCTAGTCAACAAAAGTAACCCATCTAAGATTTTATCTTCTCCCCAAAATGCAGAATCGATATATAAGAGTGAAACGAGTATAATCTTGAGACGATAGAATGTGTTACGCTGAGTCAGGTAAAAGACCTGATTATTGAGAACATCTAAGGACCGTTTGGACCATCGAAATAAGAAACGGAGCACGTTAATTACCACATATAAGGATAAGATTTATTTTTCTTATTTTTGTGAAATAGTCTTTATGGCCAGAATTCGAGTATATATTGAGCGGAATATATACATGATTCCTCATGAATAAACTAAAAAAGAGTTTTATTAGCTTATTTGAAAAGTGAATCTCGTCTTCATTTTTTAATAAATAGTGAACACGATTGTCATTTACACATTACTTTAATCATACCTGGCACTTATACTGTAAAAGTTGTCGTTGAACATTAACGGTAGTTCGAGCACATTCACAAACTTCATCTGAATCATTTACACACAAACATTTTAGAGGGATAGAGATTTCACGAATACCGGGACTTTGATGAATGAATGAATTAAAATCGCACTGACTATCTTTTTCAATATAAAAAGATTTATGAGACCGTTCTTGTTGCTGTTGAACGTTTAAAATCTTATCTAATTTAGATGAACGTAAACGACTGAAAAATAATTGAAATCCATTCTGAGAAATAGAAGCATCTTTTAAATTTGTTTTTATTTCAGGCAATGAAGTTCTTTTATCATGAAATTGTGATTTAATTTGATTTTCTAGTACATAAAGAATGCCTTCTGATGTAAGTGGAACGTCTTGATCAGCTAACTTCTCCAGTGAATTTTTATTCAGATAAAACTTGGTACTTTTATCTGAATTGGTTATTTCAGGTGATTTTTCTACTCGTTCTTCATATGTAGGTGAACAGACTAACATTGTATTCTTCTGTAGAAGACCTAACGTAACATAAAAACAAAAAGTTGATATTAAGTAACATGTAAAAAATATGGCTGAAATTTCATCTACTTTTGTAAGCTTATATCTCATTGACATTTTATAACACTGAAAATTTTAGATTAAGTCGAACAGATCATTATCAATTTCATGAGGCATACAAATTGTGAGTAATACTATGACTATTTTAGAATAAACGATAAATATAATTTGTTTATTGTCGAAAGACCTAGATGCTGTCAGAAGCCCTTACAAATGTTTCTCAATAGATGGTATAAGATATTTGTATAAACCACACTGAGATTGACTCATCTGGGATTCCATGATTTCTTATTGAAGATCACTCATAGATTTACTCTCAGTCTTGCCATGGAGTATAAAATCCATTAAGAGCTTTTCTTATTTCAATAAGGGGTCCAATTTCAAATAGCAGTCAACAAATTCCAGTGAATATTTTGAAATATGTATATAGCTACATGAAATTGGTTAATTTTCCTTATGCCTAAACTATAGCTATAATGAATTCCAAGTAAAATACAGTTACAGCTGTGCCTCTACATTTATTTACCAAATGAAATATCTATTATCTTTTGATATTACTGAAGAAGCTTTTCTAGGTGAATGGTTTTAAGTTTGCCAACTAGACCTTATACGTTTACAGAATACTGGTGTGATCTACCGAGAATTATTTTCAATGTTTATGCAAAAGTATACTTCGATCTTAAGTTTTTCGAATAATGCATATTTGATGAAAACATCAGTTTAGTGAACGCTTAAAAATTGTTCCAGCTATAGAAAATGTGATAGTCATAAAATTAGTAAGCCTTACATGATATTCAACATTTAAAAGAACAAGTGTTTTTGACATTAAGTAAAAGGATATATGGAAGTTATAACCACTGAAAAAGTATGGATAAGGATGCAACATATTTTTATAATATTTATCCATGCTATGTTCCATTATTAATTTCCGCTTAATATTAGTTCAACTTGTTAAGATTCAGAGTATATACGAGAAACACACTTTGAAAAAGTGATTGACAGATGTACATCTTCATTTGTATTCGTTTTCGTGACGAGTGAAGATATGCTTTGTGGATAAACTAATCAGACTTCAGATGGATACTCTCTGATGTTTACACGAAATTCAGGACGGACTAAGAAATGTGGATGAGCTTGAGCAATTCATTCAATGACATTTGGAAATCGATTAGTTTTTCATGAAAAAAAAAATAATAGGGAATAAATGCAACCAAAACGTACACAAAATCTAGACACGATTTATGGATTCTTCAAGGAAACCACAACCCTAATGCGTTCTCGAGTTTTCAATATCAAGTTCATTTAGTTTATTTTTATTGTGATTGGCTATCAAATTTCAAAGATATCGTAGTCATTTTACAATCACCAATATCAATAGTTATATATTGTCCTCTTTAGACTGTTATGTTACACAAGTAAAAAGCAAAATAAAAACTAAAAATCCCCGTAAGGATAAATTTTAAAAAGTTAGATAAACTTATAAGAGATTGGTGTTATCAAAATTATGTAGTCAACTGAACTATAGTAATGAATTCAAAAGCTAACTGAAAATTACCAGTAAAGATAAAAGTGATTTCAACACTTAGAAATAACCTCGTATGATGGTAATGCTAGTGTTGATTTATTTCTCACAAAAAATATGTGGTCGGATGTGATTTTATTGAATGATTATTCCTTGTCAAAATAAAATAGGAAACAATAGTTATAGAATACAAATGAAATTATACTTCTATAATGTAACTCAGTGATCATTTATTCATCTCATATGCTCGACTTTTGAGCAATACCTTTTACGTTTTGAAAGTTAAATGGGAGTTTAAATTATCCATTTGTTAATTGAAAGTCAAATACTTCAACTAAGAGTGAATCAACGTTATAAATATAATCACTGTATTATTTTGATTTCTACTAGATTTAATTCATTGTCTACTACCTAAGAATTTATTCAATCAGTAGTACATTCCCATTAATCATATAGACACTCTGTTCTTTAATATTTGATTGATTCTCAAACAGATACTTTTAAAATTAGTTTCACATCAGCACTAGTGGAATAAACAAATCTTTTCACAATTGATTGATCACTGAGTGTTGATCAATGTCATGTGTATCAAGTCCTTATTTAATGCAGATCGAATGCTCAATCAATTGTGATTACATCTCAGTCCTACATGAGGTCAGTCGCGATCCGGATAGCTCAGTGGTAACGTCTCTGACTGTGAAGGTAGGTGACACGGAATCAAATCCACCATGGAGCACCAGTTCCCTCAAGATTACAGGTACACCTTGCTGACCAGTGCCAAGTAGCACGTAATCCGGGTCCAGGGTTTCCTGTCGACTACCTCCAACCACCATCTAAACAAATCTTTTGGATTATTCATTTAACATAAATTGAATAAACACTTTTTTTTAATTGTATGAGTTTTTTCAGCAATGGATAGATTTTATCGATCTGGTTTACATTGGTCTAGCAAAACCAATATTTAATAATTTTAACTAATTACTAAAACCATGTATAAATGTAACATAAAATACTAATAGTTTGATATATTACAATGTCTGATTAATATATTCACTTACACAAAATTGTTGATGAATTAAAATCATTTCACTAATGAAGGTTACAATTTATTTTTTAGTTAACAACTAGTTCACTATTAATATGATGATAAGAGATCGACTATAATTAATTCATTTAAAACAAGAATTCTATCGATTAGGGAAAAAAAAGATAAACAAGTAACCTTGAAGTACATACATAAAATTAAACTGTTCAGTTACATACGCATATTTTCTTCTAATAATTGCCCAGTTTTAAGTTGTAAATTTTCCAATTGTCTTCTTAAATTTTCATTTTCATTATTTAATCTATCATTCAAATATTGAATAGAAAGAAACTTGTTTTAATTATAATCATGAAATAAGTAAATTAATGAAAACTATCAAAGAGGCCAAATGCAGACTTAAGGTTAAGAAACTCAATAAAAGTATAGTGATAATAGGCTATTGATGAAAATATAAAGGAATGGATAACATCTAAAGACTAACTGAAGAGCACTTGAGTAAGAATGAGAATTTTTGTAGAATAGGATAAATTCATTATATTTCGTTGCTTTTTTTCTCAGATTTATAAAACTTATAATTTTCGTTAGTAAAAATATTAAATTACCTGAAATTTTTAATTGATGAGTTATCGTTAAAGAACAGTAAATTAATTAAAAGTTCTCATTATGATTTTAATTCTTAAGATTTTGCTGACCTCTGATTATAATGCATTACTCAAAATTTTCAAATATGTTAATATTTTGGATTAACGGAAATTAATAGTCTGTATGTATTTACAGAGAATGCAACGGAACCCAATGAATTTATTGTATTCTATAGACATTGAAGTTTGTACTTTGTATAAGTTCTTCTGGGCAACAAACCCCATGAAAGCTCCTCCAGTTGTTCCACTGGCTTCTAATTAAACAGCCTAACAATTCATTACTGTCTAGTAATTGTCTGTGATATTTTGACACCACTGTTCACCGTCATTTTGTAAGCACTTTTTTCTATTCTGAATTCAGATTTCATTTACTCTTCATTATGCTTAGGCCTCCTTGGATGTATTTCCAAGGACTCATCATTTTAATAGAACAGAAGAGTAAGAAAGAAAATGAGTAATCAAAAACGCTTCAACTTATAAATCAATGAACCACGTAAGTGGGCTCTTATTTTCGATAAATAAAAGATATGACAATAATGTTCATGATGAATACTACTTTACCAAAATAAAAATAACGGCCATTTGATATCTGAAGGGGTTCTTGTGAATATTATACTAATTTCAGTGGTTGAGATCGTGAGTCAATTGAAACTAGACTATCATGGAAAACCTGGAATCACTGGATGGCCGTTTCGTCCTATTGTGGGACTCCTCAGCAGTGCGCACCCACGATCCCACATCGCGAGATTCGAACCCACGACCTGTCTGTTTCAGAGTTCAACCGGGTCTGTTGTGAGATAGTAACTCACTGAAGACAATGGCGGATGTCTCGCCCAATTTTATGGATTAGTTGAAGTCAGACATTAGCACCACTGGACACCGGCTCGGTGATCTAGAGCTTAATCGTTCGCACGCGAGACTGACAGGTCCTGGGTCCGAATCTCGCGATGCGGGATCGTGGGTGCGCACTGCTGAGGAGTCCCACAATACGACGGAAAGGCTGTCTAGTGTTTCCAGGTTTTTCATGGTGATCTAGCTTCACTTGACTCATTATCTCAACATTTTATACCTACTAGCTCAAAATATACTATTTCATTGAAGAACAATTATTCAAGTGTTATATCTTATTTTAAAGTTCAATATTGTTAATTAGAAAATTTGCGATATTTTAAAATCCTCTTTACAATTAGAGTGAAACTATTTCTTTTTCATATATGCATAGCTGAAATGTGATACTCAGTATTGACTGACTATATGATAAAATAAATCAATAAAATCAGTGAAATAATTACACTTTAGTATTATTATTATTTTCTAAATATTCTTTTAAAAAGAAATTCCTGAAATTTTTTAAGCAACTAAACTTAAAAATAATCCGGTTATTAATGAGTTTGTAGGTATCATTAACAAAATTTGATTTGATAATTGCGGATAAATTGAGCATTGAGTTGATTGTTGTAAATAAAAATAATATATTTGTAATATCCCAATGAGTAAAAAATTAGATTTTCTGGCGTTTCGTGACTTCGTGTAAGTCACTTCTTCAGAGAATATTATTTTTATTTAAGGGAAAACCGGGAAAAGACCCAAGAGATATCATTTCAAACAAATTTTAATCATATTTACCCATTTCTGTAAACAAAAACCTCACTTTTTTTCTGACTAAATTTTACTATGTTTGTTCCATTTATTCCTTAAAATTAGTTTGTTCATCTCAACACAGTCTTCTATTATCATTCTTGGACTTGAATTTGAAAAAAATCATTTCTAAATTCTGAACAACTGAAATTCTGAAGGTTAATAATCAGCTTTGATGTGAAAAAAATAATCAAACTTGGCAAGTTTGTGACTACATATTAAATGCACTAACAATTTGGATTTGAAATTTTTAACGTTTTCACATAATTTATGTTTCATCTTTTAAGCTTATTAAGTTGTATCTTTATTGTTATTAGAAATCTATACTTGTGATTTAGTAAAAAATAAAACAAAATTGTTTTTACTGACTGAAACAAAAGTAATCGTTATTCATTGAATTTTAGAAACCTTTGGAAAGTTAGCGATACGACCAAACCTATGACATTTTTAGCATCCAAAAAATGAGTCTATCTTATCCTACTATTCAGCGGTCTCAAATAGTCTTATTATGAAACGAAGATTTAAATTAGCTGTCGATGAGACATTTTGTGCATTCTAACTCAGCGTTGTAAAAAATCCAAACTCTATATTTCATCAAAAACTCAAACAGAATGTAAGCGATTGTATCACATCCCTTCACATCTATCAGTTCACATGTATGTGCAAAAACACGTAAATAGGGAGAAGTAATCGTGAGCTGCAATTAAGGATAGCTGAACACATTCCAAAGTGTCTGCGAAAACGGATGAATCCCAATGGTTAAATAAGATCACAGGATAGATAGATATTTTCCTCTCTTGCGAAGCATTTGTTTGAGACCGGTTATAAGGTTGATACAAAGTCGTAGTTTTATACAAGTTTTCAGGGGCATATAATAAGCCTTAATTATATGAACAATGAAACCCCCTTTATGTGTTCTAAAACAATTTGTTCCTACCCTTAAACTACTCTTGCAATACTGGTTTGTTTTCCAGCGAGGTTTTCACATTGTTTTTGTGTACTTTATTACTAACTTGGTTCGCCTTACCTTTTCATTTGTCTAGCTGACCTTTATTTTTCATATATAATGTCTTAGGAAGTATGTATGCGATCAAATTGTTCGAAACGTATTGCGCAGGTGTACCACGTAATTTCAACACCCTTCGTCTTACCAAATTATACGAATATCTATACATTAATAAGTTGTATATTTGTCGTCTAGCGTCAGATAGATAGGCACCACCTACTAATTTAGGACTCTTCAAAAATGTTCACCTTCCTTGTCCCGAAAAAGTGTTGAATCCAAAACATTTAGATCTTGAGAAGAGGTAACTAACTTTTTGTCACTGAAGTGAAGACCAAAGATATAGTTTTAATCAATTTTCGATACGACACAAAAAAGTGGATTCATCTATAACACAAAAATTTTTTTGGCGTGATAAGGGTATTTATAAACTCATTACGAAGTTACAGTGATATAATGAAATAGATGCCGAAAAGTCATAAAAAAGATATATAAAAGTTAGTAAAACATACAGTTTCAGTAGAAATACGGGTAAAATAAATTTCGTTCAGCTAGATACATCTTATTGTTTATGAGGATTAAAATAAAAATCACAAAAGAACTGACAGTGAAGTTTATCCTCAGCCACAATCGATAATGTCTCAGGCTACTTGTCATGTTATGATAAGTCAATGGTTTTTAACCTAAAACAAATAGCTTTTTATACCTTAGCTCCCACTTATAGACTAACTATCTCTTGATTAGTGTTCCCGCTTTTAATAATACCTCAATAAATGAGGATAAAACAACGAACTTCAATATTATTAATTGAACTCACTTCAGAACGCGAACATTAATTATAAATTAATAAAATATTAATAAATTCAAAATGTAACCATTTATACTTTAAGTCTTTTGCAAATGATTGAAAATATAAATGAGAATTGTTACTTACTGTTGAACTTTTGCTTTAGACGACTGTTGTTGTGATAACAGAGCACCTTTACTTAATTCAAGGTCTATTTTCAGTTTGTTTATTTCCTGAAAATAAAAAATACAGATATTGTTTGAGCATTAGGAAGTTTTTAGTTTGCAAATATTTATACAAAAAAAATACTTTGTCCTCCTATTCATAATATGGAATAATTGTGGTTAAAAAAGAAAATATTAGCATGATAAAATTGGCAAATTGTTTAGTAAGACAGCTTATTGAGGTTTGTTGACTTTAGTGATAGTTTAAAAAATGGACTAATATCAGTTGGAATACCACTGAAAGTCGGAAAACAGTAGGTAACTGTTACGTTTTTGATTTGGATACTTTGACATTGAGCACTATCAACCCCATGTAACCTCAAAACTAAAAGCTGTAAGCTTTTTTTGAGTGCAACACCACGTAAGCATATCTAATGTACCACATTTCCAACCTAAACCAACCTGTAAGATGATTGCCATCCTAATTAAATATAATCGTAGAGTAATTGGGACGTCTTCGACCTGGTTGATTCTATAGTAGAATCTTGGTAATGCCAGTCATTAGTATTCTGTTAGTAATTACGGTGTTAGGTAGTCAGAGGTTTGATGATTATCAGATGTTTTTTTAAATAGGATATTCTAACAGTGAATAGAGATTCTAGCTTAAACATGCAAAGGATTATAAACTTTAATATTTTCTTTAATTTCATAGAAAGTGAATAAAAAGGTATGGAACTGACTGCTAATTCTAGAACAAATACTGAACTATTTTCACTGAGTGTGAATTAAACTGACTAAACGAAAATACATCATTAAAAAAATAATCCTCAGAATGTAAGATTTAAGTCTGAAACTCAAGATTTAATGGAAGAAAAAAAGTGAATTTATTTGTGTCTGACTGATTGTGAACCATATATATTATACTATTGCTAAATATTTTGGTACTTATGAAAAGTATTCATGAATAATGTAAGGTGAATTTTACCTAATGCATTTAAATTTAATGCGTTATGACAGAAGTTATATGTGCTGGAGGCAAAAACTAACAAAACATCAAATCATACAGATCAATCATTAAATTACAACTGTAACAACCCAAAAGACCACAAAAAGAGTTATTTATATGATCCTTGGAGAAAGATCAAATCCCCTTGATATAACAACTACCATAGCGAATTCACTAAAATTATATCTGGTGAATTATTCTATCATCCCAAAATCATCCTGAAAAGCCTACAGACATTTTACAATTTATTGTGTAACAATATCTCACGAATCATCACTAAAATTTTGAAAACCAACGGATTTAGTGTTGCCCATTAACCAATGTGTTCATTTAACTCCATTTAATGCTTGGTCAAGGATGAAATAAAAAAAAATTCAACATTATTTACAAGTTCTGTTGTCCCAAATAATAGAAATACAGTGAAGAAAATAGACATCTGTTTCAGTTAAACATCCAAAAATATGCGCAAGCATTTGAAAGGTACTATATGTGATTACTTATAGCGAAATGCATACAGACAACAACCAAGATAAATTTGATAGGGAAAATTCTAAAATTTTGAATAGGAGGGATTCAAAAGAATTCCTGCATACTTGACACTCAAGACAATATCGAATAGTTGTATATGTTAACATACATTTAACCTATGAAAAGTGAGAATAAGGTTTATTTTTCATGTGTTTACAGATCAGTCTAAAACAACAGTCAATAGGGATTTAAATGCATATAGAGATAGCAAATATAAGGTTAACCAATCACTGGAAAAAGTGTTAGAACGGTCTGATTTATTACTTGTACAGTAATTTTGGTGTATTCATTTGAGTTAAGCATTGATGTTATATAAAACGATGATGAACGATTCCAAATTAGACCATTCAACACATAAGACACAAGACCATTGAAATAAAAGTCTAAAAGATAAAATCTCTAGTGGATATAATCTATAATTAACCCGGTGTGAAATATATTTAGTAGTCCATTATATGTGAATTACCTTAATGAAGGTTCTCTGTAGCTTGATGTTTTGACACAAATTATTTACTTATGGCATAAAACATAGCTGAAAACACTTTATTCATAAATATTGTAAATAAGTGGCTCTGTGATCAACATATATTTATCGATTTTGTAAAACCACTTAAGCCGTTTTTAGTCAATACATTACGTGTTAGTTTTGGGAACAAATAATAAAATTTAACGAATGTGAACAATATTAACAAAAGTAAGAACAAATATGAAACAAATAAGACTATCGTGAATGAACAAAGTAATTTGTTGTAGTAGATTTACAATTGGAGCTAATGTTTGAGAAATGTACTTATACAATTTACTGAGTGTCGTCAAAAGACATATCATATATACTGATTAATTTAGATAATCTTACCTAAATTGTTCAAAAATAGATTGACCTTAATTAGGGATTTTTTAACTATTTTTCATAGCTAATCCTTGCATAAATAATGTTTTATTATAAGTTATATTGATCAATTTCCAAAGTACATTGTCAACGTAAACAAGATTAACGAAATAATTCTATTGAAAAAAACGTTTAATCATTCTTATAAAATAAATCTAACCTACTACTGAATAACTTGGAGACTTAGGTCGATTTTTCAAATAATCAAATGTTTGTTATAGAGGTCTGTATGAAGTTGTACTACACAAAACCTCTAATTAACTGCATGCACTTGAAATAGCTTTATATATGACAGTACCTTGTTTGATAGAGAAAGCAGTCATATGAATTTATTTCAAGCCCTGGTGATAATGGCATATATATATATATATATATATATATATATATATATATATATATATATATATATATATATATATACTGACTTCAAGATGGATTCCAGATGAACATGATGACTGGTAGAGTTTAAACATGTTAAGTATAAGAGAATATATACTAAACTTCTTGAATGATTGCCCTGCTAGGGGGTTAAGGGCTTAAATTTGTAAATGTAAATGCGTTCCGACTTCATGGTTTAAAGGCATCATGATTTTTCAGATTTGAAGATATTATTTTCAAGCCCCTTCTGATAGGTCTTAAAATGAGGATAAAGAACAGTCTATTCGTTCTTTATTTTCAGCCATTTTTCAGCCGATGACGAACACTATCGTTAAAAATATGTGTGTTAAGAATTCGTTTGAAATGTCCCTACTTAAATCCATTGATTCTAATTTTTCATATTTACAAATGCTTTATTTAATTTTTAAAATCAATTTTTGCCTAACTACTTCAAGGATAACATTCAGTATCTGGAGCACTTATTCCTTATAAATTAAGCGACATATTTCATTGCACTTTAAAAAGTATGCAATATATGTTTCTTTGCGAACAGTATTTGTTCGGAATGACATATAATGAGGTGTATTTCCTCAATAGTCTCACACTGTATACAAGCAATCATTATGGGCAATAAGTTTATCATACTTGCAAAAATAAATTTAAATTAAAATAATTATCTTAATGCTAATTTTACCTTTTCCAATTCAACAGTTGAAGCGTAAACAGTACTTCGCGTTTGACCATTTTCATCAGATGACTGAAATTTCTAAAATGACAATAAATTTTATTTTTAAGAAAAACGAGAATTACTTAAAAGTAAATATTTACTTTATGAAACATAGATTTAAAATACACATTATTAATACGTGAGAGTTACTAATACAATGTGATTGCTGAAACTGAAGTATATATATATGTAGGTAGCTACGAAGCTGTTGTCTTATTTGTTTACTCTCATTAAAATTTTTGTAGTAAAACAAGAGTATTAATGATCAATTATTATTATGATTATTCTCATTATAATTAATATTATTAGTCATATTAATAGCATGGTTATATGTTTAATGGTTGCAATGTAACTTAAAGCTTTCCTACACTATTATTTACAGAGCTCATCTACAAACTTTTGTTGTTGATATTTTAATCATTGTAGTAAGTATATACCAATTATCCAAAGCAATATTTTGTTATTTTAATTAGCGAAATAATAAATACAAAAAAATAATAATGATCGTAGTAGAAGGAGTAACGATATCAGTGGTAATAAAAACATTGGCTTTCGACGAAATGAATTCGCGATTTAAGGGAAGATAGATAGTGGACTAATCCGAGTCATCTGCGACCGATTCTGAGCCATATCATACAACGTCTTCAACTATCGCTCACGATAATCACATGAACTCCAACCAGATAGTTTACATCTATCTAAATGGTTCAGTGAAGCAGCCAATAATTTTAAGAACTAATACCATGTCATGGTTCGGGAGCTTCTATATTTATTCCAATCTACTAAATTTTCAAACACTGTGAGTAAGCGATACATTTGGTTTATTTTGACGGATACTCAATAGTGTTTTAAAAACAATACTTGAAATTATTTTGCTTTGGAACAAATAGACCAGTTTTTTTATGATAATAAACTTTATTGTGAATATTAAGAGTTCTGTGACCAAACATAACATAATATCTTATCTAATGAACCATTTGAGATTGTAATCATTGAGTATTTTAATAATCTTAGAGCTTATATCTAAACAAAACATCTGATAGTTTTTTTTTCTCTGATTGTTTAACATTGCTTTTGTTCTACTTTTTATTTTCTAAATCACTTATCACCCCAAAATCGAATCACTTAATAAACCACGCATAAAACTGAAGGACGATAAGGTGAAAGTATTTTTATCCTAGAGCTTTTCGACAATATTTACGTGTATCTATCACCTTACAGATTAAATTAATGACATTATACATGGAACAACATACACAATATCATGATTACATACTGAAAAAAAAATTCTTTTTGCAAAAGAACATACATATTTACATCCATACAAGTACATGTAAAACTTTAATTGACATTAAGTATTTTCAATTTTTAGCTACAAATGTTAGTAATTAATAAATGACTGTATCATTTTAATGTCAATAATAGTACCACAGTATAGTTTGTTATTAATAATACATTCATATTTATTAATGATGAAAGCATACGTAGTTTCACGTGTACATTAGATATAACACACACTTTTTTGTTTGAATTAATGTATAAGAGGAAACTAAATAGCTAAAAATTTATTAGTCGCTAAATTTATAGGCATATTGATAATAATTCCATCATAATTACTCAACTCTCTGTATATTTTTTTATAAAATGTAAATGAAATTTGTTTCAATATTCAATAAAGTTAACATGTGACAAAAAAATCTCCACTACTCAAAATTTCAGTGTGTACGACAACAATAATAAAATGATGAATAACTTATTTGATTTTTATTGTAGCTTATATTAACTATGATTACTATTATCACTGATATTACTACTGTGGTGTGAGCTACTTATATTAATATGAGTAGTGTATGACGCGAGTTAAAACGTAATGTCTAGCAGCAGAAGATGAGGGGAAGATCAAGAAAAGAAGAGCAAAAACACAAATGGAATTTGTAAGAAAACGCATGAACAATGGAATGGGAGACAATGGATTGGTGCTTGCAACAGAAACAGTCCAGTTTAATTTGATGCATGAATATTTTGCAAATTGACGATTTACAATATGGTATTCAGATTTTATTGAGATAGTCTGTAATTGTTATATTATGTAAATTCGATTGTCCCCATCCGTGTTCTTGTTCACTACACTACTAGCGCTACTACTATTACTGCTCTCCTTTTACTATTTTCGTCCCTCTGAGCTGATTTGGTGTTGTTACTTGAATCGATTATTCCGACTGACTTACCGGTTCTTTGTCGTCTTTTCATATGAGACATTTCTTTTCGTTTATATGTGTATTAAAGTAAACAAAAGAATGATTACAGCAAGTGCCATTGAATATACTGAGATGTTTATATGTAAATTTCTCCGGAAACAAATTTCATTCGCAGAATGATTAGAAATCAAAGGGTATTGTTCTGTTTGCGAGATATGAAAGTCCGGTGGTTACAGCCTTTTGGTTTCGCGCAATATACACCTATGACTTCATTCAAGACTGAAGCTTTAGGCTTCATAGAGAGCATACTGTTATATTTGAATACTTGATTTTCAATGGATCCCAGACGACATTAGTTCACAATCACAAAAATAGTAAATGAGTCGTCTATTAGCCGTGTAGCTTTCATAAAAATGGGAAATTTCGATCGTTTATTTGCAAAGTATGTTAAAAACTCTTGATAAAAATAAATTTTAATAACTGAATTCATGAGTCGATATAAGCTAGATCACCGCTAAATAATTGGAAGCACTAGATGACCTTTCGTCCTAGTATGGGACTCCTCAGCACCACAGAGAAGCAGATAAGCTGTGACTAGAGGAGTCCGATCCGAATCAGGTAGAAACAGGTATCTACCTCAGACAACGGATGGATGGTTGCGCAAGATCATGGATCGATTGAAATCAGACATTAACACCGTTGGAAGCCGGCTCAGTGGTCTAGAGGTTAGGCGTTCGCGCGCAAGATCGGAGGTCTTTGGTTCGAGTCCCACATACGGAATCGTGGATGCGCACTGTTGAGATGTCCCATACTGGGACAAAAAGACCGTCCAGTGCTTCCAGGTTTTCAATGGTGGTCTAGCTTACATCGACTCGTGAATTTAACTTCTAAAATTAAATTAAAACTCATTCTGATGAAGAATAAAATTTATCCATCTTCCATATGTCAGATACCAGTTAAAAGAATCGTTGAATTTATTATCCTCAAATTAACAAATTAATCGTTTTCTTAATTTGAAATGTTGATTCAGTTATTTGTTCAAGGCAAGTTAGTTTCTATTCATTTACAAGTGTTGTATATTGCTAGGAATGCCTGGATATTTTAACTGTTTTGTAAATATTTTCTTCTTTAAAGACGTCTCCTCTAAAAGTTGTGCAAGTGTAACTAAATCCACCGTAAATTTATGGTTTAATTATTATCAATGAAATAAAATTATATGATCAAAGCAAAATTGGTCATGATAAGAATGGTAAATCTATTTTTGGGTATGAAAAGAGATTGTGTATTAATCAACAAAGCGATATAAAGCTGGATGTAGATTGAATAGACTCAAAGAATTTCAAAAAAGTGAATCATGTAAAATAAATCAGCGACAGGAAATAAAAATAGTGGTAACAGATGTATACAAAGGATATCAAAGACATTGATAAAACGAATAACAAGAAATAAAGAACGTTGGATTATGAGTACATAGAAATAAGAGGATTAACAGATTGCATTTTCTGATGTTAGGAAGATATTACTTGTGTTTTTCTGTTTTGTAGTATATTTCCTTTTCAGTAAGTGAGTTTCTAACAAGCTGTTTTGCATAACTGGCATGTTAGCACTTCGTCTTAACTACCGGGTTTAACCATAGCGATTTTCTTAAAGGTAAATCTTGATGAAACAATATTATTTAAATAAATCAGATATTGAAAAATAAAACTACTAATTAACTTGGATCGTTTATTAGGCAGGATACTTCTGAGATATGCACTTAAGTAGAGCGCACTTTGGTGTTTACGGAGTAGTGCTAGACCAACCGGAAGGACACTCATAGATTCATTTTCAAGGCAATGATCATTTCTTCACACATTCATGAGTCAGTTGCTGTTTATAGAAGATAGTCCGGTTTCTAAATGCTCATCCCTCTATTATTTTCTTTGAATGCATTGTTTAGGAAGGACTTCCTTTTTACCCATATTCTCCCTCTCTGATATTCACATTCTACATTATTCTGTTTGTATGATTTACAGGAAGAGTATAGCTACACATTGAGTTTTATCGTCAAATCTAACCGATTTCTTCATTGCTTAGTTTAGTAAAGTTCTTTAAATAAGCAGACACATTGAATACAGTTGAAATACCAGATAAATCTGATTTGGTAATTATACTTCTGGACCGATACTTAAAAGCGTCTATGGCTACAACAAATTCTGCTACCAAGCACACACAAGATTAGTGCTTTGTGAGGGTGAGTTAGAGAATACTGGTCGGCGGCCTATGCTCCATTGAGAGTAACGAACGTAAGTAAAGTTAAAGGGTACGAAATAACAATTGAACAGTATTAGAACAAATAGGAAGTTAATTAGTTGACTGGTACCTATGATTTAGTTCATATTTAAAGAAAATTGGGTGAAGAAATATAAAAACTCTCAGTAATTAAATATTTAATATATTTAAACTTAATCTCAACCATAAAGCATTATATCTAAATAGGCTTACTGATTATACGTTTTAGGTTAGTTAACTAGAGCGGATCAATACAACCTAAATGATTGAACAATTAACACTAGTTTATTCAACAAACAATCTTTATCATATCGAATTACATTAATAAATTGGTCATAGATATTTCATAGTTCACTTGAGGTTTGGTTTAACTGAATCGTATATTTGACTATCAGGTGGGAGAGATAAATAAACATAGTTAATGAAAACTTATTAGTGTATTCCAACATCAGATTTCTTGAAATTAACTAATGTGTACTTTAATTTTTGCTAGAAGGAGGAAAATTGGGATAGTACACACTGGGAAGATCAAGTCAAGAGATTCAACTGGATTAGAAATAATTGGACTTTAGACCTTGGGTCAAGTCTTTTATGAAGACACTCTGAATAATATAATCTTACTAACAAGGCCTCATTGTTACTTTCATCACTCAATGAAGTAAAAAACGTTTACAGCAAAATATCGTCTGATATGTGTGTATAAAAAACGGGATTGTAGAGATTTTATTACAATACAGATCACGGATCTTTCCTTTAACCTCGGTTTACTTTACATCTCAAACTTTTTGAAAATGCAGGAGCTAAATGATAGAAATTCGTGAACATAAGACAGAATCAGGTTAGGTAGCATTGATGCGTTTACTTAGAAACTGGTGCTTTAAATCTCGATAAGATAATACGTCTTTCTATTTATTAAATCGAAATCTTGGGTCTAGCCTGGTATGAAGTTACAGATATGCACCTCCGAATAACCTTCGAGTGGGAAAAAAGATCTACAGTGCTTCTCAGTTTTCTACAATTCGCCTATTGACATCAGTTCATGAAAAAAGCTGTTTATAAATTGGACAAAATTTTCACAAAATCGCTTGAGTAGAAAAGCATTTTTAATGAGTTAGAATCGAGAGCAGTATGATCTCATTGATTATATTTGAAAGATTTGCAATTAAAAGTTAAAATTTTCTACTCGTTTTAAAGATTATTTATTTACTTAATTAGCTATTCTCACGGAATACTTCACTACAATATGAATAGAGAAATTATTTAGATCAAATAGTATTGTATAGGTGTTTCTTGCTGTCAATAGACACATGCTCCTAAGCAGTGAAGATTCGCTAGTGACCACGTAACTGAGCATAAACCATTCAGATTGCATAATCGAAATTTTAACTTCTAGTATGGCCTGTTATGACACATAATTCATAAGATGAAATGGCTGTCTTGTACTCGCTTACTACCAACAATTATTTCAATGACATTTGACGATCTCCACAACAATAAACTAAAACTTACCATGTGTCCACTTGTGACTAGCTCCGAAAGGGAGTTATTTGAATTCTAATGAGAAGCCCTGATCAGTGGAGCTCAACCATGTCGGCTGAGGCAGTTACCCATCGAAGACAATGGAAGGTGGTCGCGTGATATAGTGGATTGGTTGAAGTTAAACGATGGCATCGTTGAGAGGCGGCCCAGTGGTCTAGAGGTTAAGCGTTCTCGCGAAACCATTCCGCGTATGCGGAATTCTTGATGCGCACTGCCGAGGAGTCTCATACTAGGATGGAATGGCCGCCCGATGCTTTCAGTTGTTCTGGTGGCCTAACATTGGTTGGTTCATGATTTGAATGAAACAGTTATTTCGTTAATTCATGACTTTCTGTTGAAATTGGTGCTTTTTTACACAATACATAATCCATATCAGGAAAACAATTAAAATGTTGAACTTATCAGTCAAAACATACTGAAATAACTGTTTCTCTGACACACAGAAATAGTTAATTCATGCTACCTTTTTTATAATATACATTTTCATTTACAAAATTATCCGAAGGGTGAAAATTCAGTATTATCATATTTAAATTAAAATCTTATTATTAAGACAACTAATATTTATAAAGCCGGTGAGTATCTATGCGAACCCTAGATTTTTGTCAAAATATCCACAACAATATTAGTTAACATGAAAATCTTAGAAATGTTTAATATACAATATATACATGAATTGAAGATAAAGTATTCAATGAAACAGTTATTTTTACAATAGTGCAGATTATAAAAACTAAGTGGTTATTTGGAAAACATATTTCTAGTAACTTTTCATAAAATTATGTTTTTCTTGCTAGGGGATTTAACAGTTAATTCATGTAAATGAACTACTATTCCAAATGATTTTGGCAAGTTTTTGTAAATGTGCATCCTGTGGTTACTTAAAACCTAGTATGAAGTTGTTAGATTCGACTACTTTCCTCTATTAATCATGAAATTAAATTAATCGTTAAATCATTGTCTATAAAGGCTTCCTCAATGAAATTATCCACTGTTTATTCATTAGTAGGTAATGCCTTATCATATTTTGAGTAAATTACAAAATATATTACTTCGCCTTATTGAAGTTCAGAGTATGACTCCCTACAGCTAATAATGATTTAACTCTTTGAAAAGCAGAGTAGAAGTGGGATTTTAGTATATGTATGATTTAAAATAAATACAATAGAGTCGTAGGAGAAGTAGTTCATGTTCAAATGATGACTTTTAGTTTAGTAAATTATGTTAAACGATTATGGTTTACTTTCTCCTTCTCAAAAACGAAGTAAAAAATGAGTTAATCAGTTGTTGACGAACCCCCTATTTAGAATAGGAGCATAATTATTGCAGAAGAATAGTGAGTGCTCCTCTGAAAAATAGCTTAATCACATATCACTTCTTTAATAATTAGTTGTGACTGATTATTATGGTAGATACTACGGATGAATATTATAATGTTATCGATCGAGAAAATGTTAACGTTACTTCCGATGACTTGTTTACTGTAGCTAATGTCATGTTCTTAACCTGAACACTGATTTTACTAACGGTTCTAGCTATCTTCTATCTTGGTTCATCCTCCGGGATGGAATAAAAGGTGGATTTTTAAAGAATAAGGATGACTGCTGATTTGAGCAATGTTGGTGATAGAGGTTTACCGGGTAGGTTTCGCGAGAAAATCACAACCTATAGTTAAAAACTAGGTGTGACATGGCCCAAAATCAGTAATAGTAAAGTGGATGAAATCATTTTAGATCCTCCTACACATTTCAAACACTTCGCTATACCAGGCCATAGTATTTAGACCAAAGCTTTCGTGTTACTCATTAATAGAGAACGATAGTCTTCATTTTATGTAACTAAACCAGTAATACGGGATTCCAGTCGCTTCGTATAAAAAATGGTTAATTTTTCTGGAAGCCAATCAGGAAAACACATAGATTAATGAAGTTTTAGTTTTCAACAGTTAAAATTAACTTAGGACCCTTATTGCGTGAGTTACTGTAATTACTTGGTGGTACTTAAATGACTCATTCTTCTGCCATATTTTTTTTCATCTTTGGATGACATGTATCCTTATCCTTCTTGACGCATTATGCTCGATTATCTTCAACTAAAACGCAAAAGTTTCATTCATACTATTATCCTTGTTATTTTAAAACATTTATATTATATCCTCATTTACAATGACTAACATTCGTCCATCTGAAAAATAACATCACAATTTCAAACTATTTGGTTTTTACTGACCCTTAGCCGCCCATATTTTTCCGTACTTTTTAAACAGTGTGGTGATACTTTTAATTTATTCTGTCCAAGCTTTAAGTAGTCAGAGTTAATGTTATTCATCGGCAAGATTATCCAAAGGTCAAATGGTCAGAGTTAGAAGCGCTGCATTTACTAAATAAAGTTATACACTTATACTCGCAATCTGATGTTGCACTAATGTCGTTAACACAAATTAACTACCAAAATTTAATTATATAAATCTGCAGCTCTACGACCCAATCGTCTGAACTTTAACCGGTAACCAACAGTCTTGATATTTGCATCATTTAATGACGATAAAGATCAGAAGCTATATAATACTGTTCATAGGCCGATATACATACATATGATGGGATGTTAGCACATCAAAACCATTAATGATCCATTTTAATATTACTTACATTACTCGTTAAAATTTTGACTGCCTGACATTTTGAATTAAATGCTTTGTAAAGAACTTCAAGTTCTGATCTCAGAACGGTACATTCCTGTGAGATAAAGTAAAAATAAAATAACATTGATTAACGGTAAAATAATTTTTATCATATCTCTCTTCTAAGTAAACCACAGTGATGCAGTAATATCCAGTGATAGCGTTGGCATCCTCAACTGCCAACAAAATAGAATATTATTTCATTATTAATTCACTTTTATATCTTAGACACTAGTGTAGTGGACGCTACTCACAAAAATGTTTGCAAGCAGTGTGTAGCGGAACGTGACGTTGAAGTTACAGCAGTTTTCAGACGGAGTAAAACGTTTCAGTACATCAAATACTTGGAAACCAGATGAAAAGACAGTTCAGATGGCAAAGCACAATGAAATATGCACAGGGACGACTGAAAGCTATGCATATGTATCATATAAATTATTTGTGATTTCCTGCAGCAACTATATATTTCTTTTGCATATTGTCTTATTTTGCGCTAGAAAATCAGGTGAGATATAGTCAAATAAAACATTAAGACACCTATTTTGAATATCCACTCTATAGTATTATTATTTCACTAAAATGTTAGCTTGCACACCCTCCAAAAGCTAAGGAAATTTTTTGGGACGGAATAAAATACTGGAATATTTAAAAACCGGGAGATTTGGATTGTAAGTTAAGTTGTAAGTTTTTGCTGCCGCAAAAAATATAGGCGGTTGGCCAATTATTCCGTATAATTTGCAAAACTATTTGGCTTGCCGATTTCCCTACAATATATTTAAAACATTACAAGATAATTATATACGCAAGTGGTTCGAATGAACGACAAGCTTCTGAAGATGTTTTTCAGGCTGACTATCGTTTATCGGCATATAATACTCTTTTTGGAGAAGAAAACATGAGATATGAGGCATTTACAACGATGAATTACTTAATATATCGCCACATAGGACTGGTTTATTATGATTTCAAAAACGTTGCCAAGAGTGCTGTATTTTTATTTAATATACCAAATTTTTTATGTGCGTTGGATGTTTCTGCACAAAAATAATTTATTCAAAGCGGTCAATTATCAAGGAATGTTAACGCGAATAATCAACCAAAGCTTAGAAATAACGAGGTGACAGTACCAAATAGAAATATGAGTTTCTAAAACAATCAGCCTGAAGCTTTATGAAACTATAATGATTTATTGTTGCCTTTGTGTAGAAAGATCGCTCTTTCTTTACATCAACAAGGAGCTATTTGAATTAAAAAATGGATCGTTTACCAAATACATGAGAATATTTGATATTTATCTGGGACTTGCTGAATCTAAAAACGATTTAAACAAATGTCTCAAGGCGGAAACTAACGTAATTTCATGACATTAGCCGGTTAAATCCGCCATCTGCTTCATTTATTAGAATTTGTACTAAGTAAGATGAGTCTTTTTGATTCTTGTCAATATATTCTACTTATGATCATAGAAGGGCATTCGACTGTAGGCCACAACAGTTCTTTTTGTCCTATTATGTGGTTTTGAATCATAACTTCTAAGAAAGGAAAACTAACAATGAGCGCTTATGGGTGTTTTTGAACGGATAAAAAAAGGCAAACAAAAAAGCTACATGGTGAACTCTATTATGAATGGAGCACAAACAGTATTCAGGTGGATAAAATTGAACTACAGCATTAAAGTAGATGAGGTACGTTACATTTGCAATATTATTAACCGCTAAGACCAGTGACAGAGTTTAATCCTATAAGACCTAATTGAACCTAAAGAAACCAGATTTCAAGCTAATACATCTTGTATAACGAGTAAAATCTACTAAATATACTTGTCTAGGGATCTAAATAATGTAACATTTTATTTTTATTGTTACTACGCTATAACTTCAAGTGTTTGAAAAGAAAACAAAAAAATGCTACTTGCTACCCATATTAAAAATCGTATTTAAAGCGGAAAAGAGGCTTAATTTGAAACGAAGTCATTGATTTTTCGAATTATAGTGAACAACGTCTAAGGTTATTATCTTATTTGCTTGCCAGCTTTTGGGTTGGAAACCGTCCATAGATAAAAATCGTTCATATTCCCGTAAAATAGCTTATAAACAGTTTTTGTATATCAACAAAAAATTATAATTCAAAGCACTTTAAAGATACTTACAAGTGAAACACTATGAAGTCTAGAATGCAAATCACGAATTACTTTCATAGAGTTTTCTGTTAAGCCATTTTGTTCTTGTCCAGTTGTACACAAAAGCATGCTAAAGCAGAAATCATGCTGGCAAATTGGACATTTAAGGCCCGTTTTAGATAACAATAGTTTACTACCAAACTTTGGGTCCCTTGGTTCAAGGATTGGACTCGATTCAGAATCTCTCAGTAACGATTTTTAGTTTTAATAAAACTTACCATTGAACGTTGCGTATGAGCTTAAACTACTGCTGTTATTTACGAAGTTCTGTCCACCACATCCATTTAAATGATTTTCTAGAACGTCACTTTGACCGTTTGTCCACATTTGTATAGAACGTTATTACTGATCCTGGAGGAAATAACTAAAAAATTAACCATGGGGTGAGGTCTATCGGTTGAAATATTCTTCAACTTATACCGAGCTAAACTTTGATAGTTTTTAATCAAAAGCTGCTTTCTTAAAGAACCCCTTGTAATTTTTATGCCAACAACTGTTGTTTCTCAAGCATATGAAAAGGTTAAAAAAGTCAGGTAAGGTAATCTCAAATTCTTAGTTATTACCTTAGCACAGTTGTATCGTTAATAAGCTGATTCAGTTGAAAATTATTAATGTTTAATCATTTGATAGGTACTACTTTCGGACTTAATAAATTTCCTTGGCAGATGCAGAGGATTTCGCCATCGCCAGATTTTTGAGCCTGTTTGTATATACTTGATTTACCTACACAACCTAGCGAGCACAACACAAGTTATCGAAAAACATCAAATACAAACCTAAAAGTTAATAGTTCTTTGTGAAAACCTTGCCACCGCTCACATATAGACTACGTTGCAATCGATTCAAATATCCAGGTCCATCACTATATCACTGTTAATCAATTTCCATTGCTAAATGGTATTTCATAAAACCGTTAGTGCACAATATATTAGTAGATATATCACATCATTTAGTTTACTACGTAGCAACCTGTACTGCACAGCACGTAAATATTTATTAGCTCAAAAGAATAGAAGCATATAACCGCATAATAACTCTTAAAAGAAATAATAATTGGAATAAACTTAAAGGTTAACAAAAGAAAGAGGTAATTATATAGATGAATTCAGATTCAGATTTGTGTAGTAAGGACAGAAGGCCTACGGCCTATGTTATTCCTTTTCTAGTATGTTTCATGAGTGTCCAGTCTTCTCTTGAAAGAGTCAATTGAAGGTGCGGACACCACTGCTTCAGGCAGCAGGTTCCAAGTATTGATGACGCGGTGTGAAAACCTGTATGCCACGGGTACTTTGTTCGTTCTTGGCTTTTCTACTCGACCTTTTTGATGATCTACTCTGAATCATCAATATGTAATTAAAAATTAATGCACGGTTGAACATGCAACTGCGAAAACTTTAAGAATTTATTTCATTTATGATTGCAGAGGATAAATTACAGTTGTGATACTATGTTTAAATACTTTAAAATCCATAACAATGGATGATGCAGAGAAATTTAAATATAAATAAGCTCATGGCAGTATCCGATTACTAACCGCGAAGTCAATAATGAGCATGGAAACTTAAAAGTAATGCAGTCACCTCTTTGATGTAACCTCCGAAACTCATCACATCATTCACAAGGCTGCAAATAAATTGTCCTCTTTATCCAAGTAAATGACTAAAACAAGAATATAAAATCAATTAAATTACTCGTTAAAACTCCACTTTTTACAGTAAAAATGCCTTTTAAACTTATTTATCCTTCAAATTACTGGACTAAATGGTTGAATAACAATATTATCCACGAGACAATATATTGATCAATAACGCTGAGATCTAGTGCTTTTATGTAAGTTTATTGTTTTTCGAGGTCTTTCAACAGGTTAAGTTTCAACTGTATCACTTCGAGTGGTCAAACTCATTGTCAATTTACATTGTTTGCTCCAGAGATGTGTTGAATGTCTGAAGTAAACTGCGAAATGTAGTCCAGTTGTCGAGACTCAAGGAGAGAGTACTTGTCTGAAGTAAAGCTTAGAGAGAAGATGAGTGGTTTATGGTCAGTGAAGAGAGTGAATTCACGACCTTTGATGTAGTCTTGAGAATGTCTTACAGCACAATCCATAGCTAGGAGTTCACTACCGAATGTGCTGTACCTCGATTCGGTGTCTAGCAACCGTCTAGAGAAAAATGCCAATGGTTACCACGAATTGTTTACCCATTGTTGTAAGACTCCTCCAATTGCTGAGTCGGATGCGTCTACTGCGATACTAATGGGTGCTCGGGTGTCCTGCTGTGCAAGCATTGTTGCTTTAGCAATGAGTTCCTTAATTGTGGAGAATGCTTTTCGTGCGATGACGTAAAGCTTGATGGATTTCGCATTTCCACGAAGTTGGTCGGTTAGAGGTTTCATGAGTAACGCGCATTTAGGTACGAATCGTCTGTAGAAACTTACAAGGCTGTTAAACGTTCGTAGTTGCTTGATCGTGGTCGGTTCTGGGTAATCCAGAATTGCCGCCACTTTGGTCATAAGGGGTCGAATGCCTTGAGCATCTATAGTGTGTTCTAGGAAGTTTAATGAGTCGGCTCCGAATTGGAATTTCTGAACGTTTACAGCAATGCCATGTTTTTGTAGTCGGTCGAAAACAAGATCCAGATGCTTGAGATGTGATTCTCTGTCCGAACTTGCGAATAGGCAGTTGTCAACATACGCATGTACGAAGTCGAGACCTCGAAAAACGTCGTCTATGAATCTTTGGAATGTTTAAGCAGCATTCCTTAGACCGAAAGGCATTCGCGAAAATTCATAGGGTCCGAAGGGAGTAATTATGGCGGTTTTCGGTATGTCGTCAGTGGCCATGGAGATTTGGTTGTATGCTTTAACCAAGTCGATTTTCGATAAAAACAGATTTACTTTCCAAGGTAGCTGTCAAATCGTGAATGTGAGGCAATGGGTAACGATCGGGAATGTTTTTTGCATTCAATCGCCGATAGTCACCAGTTGAACGTCAATCGTTGCTGTCTATTTCAGGGACCATATGCAACGGAGATGCATATGGGCTATTTGACGTTCGTATGATTCCTAAGTCTATCATGTGATCGAACTCGTTTTTCGCTAACCTTAGCTTTTCAGGGGCTAGTCGTCGCGCTTTAGAGAACACAGGTGGTCCTGTAGTCGTAATGTGATGTGTAACGCTGCTGCTTACACACGGAAAATTTGATTGCGTTTGATGAATCTCAGGATACTTATCAAGTAGTGGTTGATAAAGTGGGTCTATCGTATGCTTAATTGTGACTGGGGATAATCTGCAACCAGAAAAAGAAGTTACGAAAACGGATAAATTAGCGTTTCCGTCTACTAGCCTCCGTTTGCGTGTATCGATGATCAGATTATGGTGTTGTAGAAGGTCCATACCAATGATTGGCATAGAATCATCTGCAACAACGAAGATCCAATGAATGTGTTTGCGTAAGCCCACGTTAACGTAAACGTGCCTTCTGCCATACGTAGCGATAGGTTTTCCGTTTGCCGCCTGTAAGTTTAGAGCCAATTCGTGAAGCCGGTCGTTGGAATCCACCGGGAGAACGCTAACTTCTGCACCAGTGTCGACGAGTTAGCGAACTCTCGTTATCACATCTGTGACGTACAACAGACAGCTATGTTCGCCGGCTACGGTTGCCGTTAACGCGTGCCGGCTTGGAAGTTTCTCGAGTTGTTTTTGGAGTCAGTCGGTTTCGTGTTGTGAATATTGCAGGGTTTTCAGCAATTTCTGGAAGACTTTCCATACTGGTTATGATACCAGCACTAGTCAGGGTTATCCGTCTCTCGTGGTTTAGAGACAGATCGCTTACGTGAAATGCCTCTACCTGGGCTGTGTGGGCGATTACGGTCGTTACGAAAATAGAGATAACGCGTAAGTATATGACATAACTCGGTTATGTCATTCTGAGTCGTTTGAGGCTTTTCTTTGACTGAAAATACCTCTGTAGTAGACGATTTCGTTATTTCTAAAATACGATCTGCATATGCAGCCAGTTCGTCTAAGGCGTTGTTCTGAAGCAAGACCAGAACCGCTTGCACATGTTGGGGAAGTTTGGACAAGAAAAGTTGTTTGAATAGGCCTTCGTTGAAAGTTTTTAGGCCTATCACTTCTCTCATTCTTCGCAACATGTCCGTCGCAGAACCGTGCTGCAAGTCTATGTTATTAAAGAGTTGATCTAAACTTTGTCGATCGGTTAGGTCTCCTCGTTTAAGAATCGAACGTTTTAAGGTTTCGTACGGTTCCGAAACATCACTAGTAAACATACTAGGTGTTACGTACCTGCTTAATTCCAGCGGTAGTGCCTTGACTACTGCGAGGAAATGTGCACGTGTGTCGTTCACGCCGTGCTCGTGGAAGTCGGCTTTTGCGTAACAGAACCATGCTTCGATATTGTCGGGCCAGAAATGCATGAGTTGGAACGAGGGTGTGGACATGGTCTTAAGCTTAATTACCTTAGAAGTCCGTTCGGTCATAGGGGAAAATTAAGTACGAGAATACGAGGGGAAAATATGTAGTTATCCTGAGACACGGGGGAAAAATATCACAATGTATAAAAATTAAAAAAATAAGGCAATCGTATATAAAAAATCCCAAAAAGGAACAGACTTACAGTTGTAATTAGGTGTACCAGATCACGTCGGTCTCACCAATGAATGATGGCACAGGTATTCAGTATTTGACAACGCTTTTATCAGCAACACCTCCTAATATAATTTGTACCCACCAAGAGAAATCAAAAGACAGAGTCGAGGAGATCGGAAGATCGGAATTGTCTGATCTAATCTGGCTAGCGATTGCGATAGATGTTGAGCACAGCGTTACCACACGTGATCTGATGCAGATGCATGAATGAACGCCTTCAGCCAGATGAGTCCACTAAAACATATGATCAGCATCCAATGTCGAAAACTTACAGAGCTATTTATTTTGAGGATTTATTTACCGCTATAAAAGTAACAAAAAAATTGACAAACAGCATAGTCTCAACTGAAGATAATTGTGTACTTAATGTCTGTAACCAAAGTGAACCCGTACTGCTGAACAATTTTTTCATAGTGTGAGGAAACTGTTTTATGGGGAGTCATAGATATCTCTTCTAGTATCATTGGTCCAAAGGTATATATCGAGCCGCATTAATGAGGAACTGACATGAAATAACCCCACCATGAAGTGAAGAATTATATCTTACATCTCTTAAGCTCTCATCACGGAGATATCTATATCCATGTATACACAGTCCTTCTCTAGATTTAAGTGATGTACTACAAAAGTTTATTTAACTTTGAAGAGTAGACGCAGTTTACAGTGACCATGAGAGTTATGAGGGATCCTATTCACTGTGATCACATAACCGCTTATCTACCTGCAGAGGTTGAAATTTTGGCGCTTCCAAGCCATCTGAGCAAGGCTTACCTCTAACTCTAAGAACCTTTCATAGTCGCTTTGTCTGAACTCTTCGGAAGTGTGTGATACTTCCTAAACAACTCTAAAACCTCTCTTCCAGTATTACTAACAGTTTGGAAACCGAAATTAACGGTCCTTATTATTCTATTCTTTTAAAAAATAAAGCAACCTGCTGAGTAAATACTATTTTATGACAATGAGCTATAACAACTACGAAAGCGTCTGTTGTCAATCGGCATTACTCAAAGAGAAAGAGACTAAAAGTGTAACCCTTAATAGTCCATTTTTGATAGTCTTTCCTGTTTTTGATAGTCTATAAATAACAGCTGATAAATTCGCTGTACTCAATTAGCTCATTCTGATCTTGGTGAGGAGATTGTTTGTTTATTAATTGGCTAGTAAAAAAATACTCAAATTATAGCCGCGATTGCCATTCATTATCAATATTACTAAGGATTGAACTCAAGCTGAACAGAAAAGATTACGTTTCGAAGAGATGTTGTTGTACTTTGATCAAGGAGGAGAACGTGCTTCGCACACATAAGAATTTGACCTGATGCAGTCCAGAGAAGCATGAAAAACACTCACTGGATGAGAATCTTATGGAAACTGGGTCATGTGGTGCTTGTATGAACTAGTGTTCTTTGTACTTAATGATTGTCTGATTTTTAGTTTTAAATAAAATACGCCTGTTTGTTCTCACCAATTCTGCTTGGTTTAAATTGAGCTATTTCGGGGATTCATAGTTCATATAATAATCCAAATGCTTCTAATCACATTGGCGTCGCGATAGAACATGTGATAGGACATCTGGACCTCCATTCAAATTTCGGTTTTTTTGAGGATTATATGGAAAGGTTCGATATCTTAAATATAACCAAGGAAGATATCGAGGATGTTAATGTTGTGGCTCATTTGCTTACAATCATTGGAGAAGAAGCCTTTATTCTGTTAGAACGTGGAGCATCTTTGAGGTTACTTCTATGTCAGATATCACTGCTTTAGCTAGAATGTTATCAGGTCTTTCTGCTTCTTCAGCCTTCATTTGTTTGATTTGTCTGATTTCCAGATCGTATGAATTCTGCCATTCTATGCCTTAACATGGGCATCAGGGTTTCTTTGTTCATCGATGATGCTGACCAAGTACATGAAACTACCAACTTCTTTCAGAGATTCTCCATGAAGTGTGATTGTGTTGGTGTTCTCAGCGTTATA